AGCATGAGTGAGAGAGGGGAAGAGGGAGACACAGAATCTGAAGCAGGTTTCAGGCTCTGAACTGTCAGCACAGAGCCTGACATGGGACTTGAACTCATGAAATGTGAAACCATGATCAGAGCTGAAGTTGGACGTTTAACTGACTGAGCAACCAGGCACACCTAGTTCAGCGGCTTTAAGTGCATTCACATTGTTATGCAATGGTCACTACCATCCAGCTCCAGAATACTTCTTCCTCTTTCAAAATGGAAACTCAGTCTCCGTTAAACGAGAACTTCCTGGTTCTCCCTCCTCTCAGCAACTGGTGACCACTATTCTATTTTTCTATCTCAATGAGTTTGACTCCTTCAGGTACTGCACAGAAGTGGAATCATACTTTTGAAACCAAGAAAGTGTGAGTTCTCTGACTTTGTTCTTTTTAAGGCATAGTGTTTTTATAACCTAATCTTGAAGTGACATCCTATATACAATATTTAAAAATTTATTAAATGTTTATTTATTTTTGAGAGAGAGAGAGCAGGAAAGGGGCAGAGAGAAAGGGAGACACCAAATCTGCAGCAGGCTCCAGGCTATGAGCTGTCAGCACAGAGCCCGACGTGGGGCTTGAACTCATGAACTGTGAGATCATGACTTGAGCCAAAGTCGGAGGCTTAATGGACTGAGTCCCCCAGGCGCCCCACCATATTCTACTTAATAGATGCCAGTCAATAAGTCAAGCCTGCCTTCAATGGGAGGGGAGTACATAGGATGTGAATACCCAACACAGCAATCATTGGGATCATTCTGGAGACTGTCTACCACATTACATTTCAGGAGACAGCACTGTTTTGTAACTCATAATTGGAGAAACGATGAATCAGGGAGACACTGGGCAGCCCCAGAAAGACCATAACATTAGCGTTTTGGTTCCCTCATGGACCTCCCCAAATCAGCTAGTGGGAGTGACCAGAAATGGTGGACAATGGACAAAAGGGATGACAATCTTTTTGGAGGGACCAAGTGCAAATGACACATAAGAGGAATATTGGTTGAAAAACAACAACTCAACAAATATTCACCAGGTTCCAGCTAGCTGCCTAGCATTTTGCCAGGTGCCAGACTTACCAAGGGCACATCAATTCATCTGTAAGTAAGCCTCAATATGCTGAGAAGCACAGTAAGGCAGGTGAGGCCACACGAGTCGTCACCTTGCTAAAGTGGTTTGTGAAGACTGTTCGAACAGAAGGGTGTGGGGGAAAATGTTACAGGCATGGAAAGTATTTCAGTAAGAGGCATTATTCCAACTCCCTGGGGTAGGAAGTAATTTGTGTGCAGAAAAGAGCCTATTAACCTGGAGGAAGCAGGAAGCCTAGAGAAGAATGGAGGCTGTGTTGAGGTCGTCAGAAGGGCTTGAAAGCCTCGCACAATTGATATTCTAAGCAAAGGGAGCCAGCTCAGTCCAAGGCACCGGGGACCTGACCTCCCCAGGCACAGAGCAGGATATCTCCTTTGGCTGGTAGAACAACAGACCACCTGGGCCACCTGTCCCGTTTCAGATGAATGCCTGAAACATTGCATTAGCGTCTATCTTTAGCAAAGTGATACAGGTCTGTAGTTAAAACCAAATGGTTTGAAAAGGCTTCTGTCAAAAGACTAGCTCTGACGTGAAAGAAAGAAAGGAAGAAAGACAGAAAGCAAGCAAGAAAGACCAGCTACTCCCCGCAAGCAGCTCACTGTATTTGGTCAGCTGATTCTTGGGTTATTTACATCCCTGTTTCTAAGTAATGTGCTTATACAGCTATTTCTTGGTATATCACTTTTACGTAGCATCTGTTTACTTCTCTCAATGTTTGACAGAGTTCCCCTGGATATCGCTATGGTTGGATTCTTCCCCCAAGAGATATTTTTGCTGGATATGGAACTCTGGGTTTACTAGTTCTTTTTGAAGTATTTATGTAGTTTGTGCTGTCTTACAGCTATCAGTGTAAACACTGTACCTGCCTGGTTTGCTCATGTAGTTTTCCCTCTTCCAGAAATTTCTTCTACTTGTTCTTACAGAATGACTCCATTTTTAATTATCTTGAATGGGGATGCTGGAGCCTTTCTCTAAAGAATTTTAAGCTCTGAAGTCTGGAAAATGTGAACAGGGTCTTCAAGCCACCTATGTGAGATGGGAATCAGTAGAAAGCAGGAGAGGTAGGGTGCCTGGGTGGCTTAGTCTGTTAGGCATCGACTTCAGTGCAAGTCATGATCTCACGTTTCATGAGTTCAAGCCCCAAATCAGGCTCGCTGACAGCTCAGAGCCTGGAGCCTGCTTCAGATTCTGTGTCTCTGTGTCTCTCTGCCCCTTCCCTGTTTGTGCTCTGTCTCTCTCTCTCAAAAATAAATAAACCAAAAAAAAAAAAAAAAGAGAGGAAAAGGGGATGGTACTTGGGGAGTGGACAAATGGGGAGAAGCCAAGGAAAATATTCAGGATTAGAACCCCAGAATTGGTGTAGAATCCTGGAAGGAATCTGGGCAAAGATCAGTACACCGGATCTATGATGTTCCCATATGGGCTCTTTCATCAGTGAAATACTCTGGGGCTTGGGCCGACCATCCATTTGATGTCTTCAGGGTTCAGTAGCATCATTTGGAGAATATGGGATTTGGACCAGAGGACCTTTAGGCACCATCCCTCTTCCACTTCTCTGCAGTCCTATAATTCCAACAGAGCACTATATAACTCTAGCAGGGAAAGGCTATGAATGCCATTTTCACATTATTGTAAATTAATTCAATGAGCTTTCTCAGAAACTGGCATATCCTGACACGGAAGAGAAAGGAGTTTTGATTAGACAGCCGAACAGCGTGTGTGATTTGGAAGCATGGGGTGGGGGGGTAGGTCATAGGAGAGGTTAGACTGAAGATGAAGCCCCACAAGAGGGCGCTGGTGAGGTTCCGTTAGCGTCCTCTGATGCAAGAGAAAGTCAAGTAACGCAGATAATGTCGTCCAGCTAGCAAGGGAGGTAGTTTGAATTTTAACCCCAGTTGGCCAGACTCCAGAGTGTAGTAGAGAGGGGCTTTGGGAAGTGAAAGAAGAAGGCAGAAGAAGGGAAAGAGGATGAACATTTTCTTTTGTCCAAACTGAAGTAGGAGGAAGCACAGTGCCTTGTTTTCTCCTTCATGTGCACCCAGAGAGGCCCCTGGGTCCTTTCCTGGGCTCTGCTCTCCCGGCTTAGGACAAGGAGGTCATTTTCCAAGATGCTCTCAGGACGACCTGGACTTTTTATGCAGGCAGTCATTTCCTGCTAAAAGCTTTTGAGGGAGAATAGCAGATGTATTCAGCTTTTCTGCAATGGGGTGGGGGGTTTAGAGAAAGTTGGCCACATACGATGGTTAGGAGTCTCTTGCCCTGGGGTAATGCTTTGGTTCTTGGTGTGCATGGACAGTGTGCTGTGATATTACCCAAAATACAACATGCTAAGTCCAGAGACTGAGTAAGTCCACACCAGCCCCACATTCAGACAAGCCTGCAACTAGATGGTCAAGGGCTACGAATACACTGACCGCTGGGTTCAGACCTAACACCTGCATCAGGTACTAGTGGTGACAGAAGAGTGGTGGGGACCATGGCCTTGGACACCCATCCCCAGCTAAATAGGAAGATCTCCTTTGCATCAATGTGGGAAGAAACAGTTCACACCACTGGGTGGCAGTATAGCGTTCCTCTTTGTTTCTCCTAAGTAGCTGTATTTTCCGGGACCTAAGTAATTCTATTCCTTCGGTCAACCCACCTGCCCCTTCCTTCCTTTGTCCCTCTCTTGCCTTATGTCCATGTCTCTACACATACTAGCCTCATCTGTGTGTGTGTGTGTGTGTGTGGTAGTGGATCAGAAGGATAAACGTTTAGGATCCATTACATCCCATCCTTCCCTTATTCACACTGTCTTTCTATACCTCTGCAAATGCTCCATTAGGTCTTTGTTTTATTAACGGAGATTTATAATAAATTAAAAAAGAGAGAAAGAGGGCAAGCCTAAACCTAACAGCATAGGGGAAATTCATTTCTAGGCTGAGATGGAAAATGCTTCTGGTCATTTTGTCAGGGGCAAATATTTGTCAGGGGCAAATATTAAAAAGAGGAAATAAGATACTATTCAAAAGATAAGCTGGTGATGTTTACCAAGGGCCAGCAGGCAGAAGTAGCAGAGGTGGAGTCTCTGGAAGTTATGTGTAGAGCTGCTCTGCCATCTGGTGGACATAATTGCAACTGCAGTTTTTAATCTGTAGTCTTGGGTTCCCAGACTTGAAGATTATTATGAATTATAAAACAAGTAACAAAAAAAAAAAAAACAAGAAAAAATTCCCTACCCACAAAAATCCTGAATAAATAAATAAGACCAATACACGGTTGCCAACTTTTTACTTTGCCAAGTAATAGTTTTAAAAATCTAGCATCTATGGTTACCATCATCTTACTTAAAAAAATTAAGTTTATTCATTTTGAGACAGATGGAGGAGAAAGCCTGAGCAGGGGACAGGCAGAGAGAGAAGGAGAGAGAGAGAGAAAATCCTAAGCATGTTCCATGCTGTCAGCACAGAGCCTGATGTGGGGCTCGAACCCATTAACTGCGACATCGTGACCTGAGCTAAAAATCAAGAGTTGGATGCTTAACCGACTGAGCCACCCACTATCATTTTACTTTTAAAGGGGAATAACGGCCCCCCAACCTCCAAAAAGTCTTTTCACTTTCTTAAAAACAAAAGACAGCCCTTTAATTGAATATTTAGATTAAAAGAGAGATCATTACATTTTTTGGCTTTGTTTTAGAATTCTGTTACAAAAGGGTGAAAATTTTATCAAACTTCAGCACTGGTCTAAGGATTGATGTTTGGGAACCATCGGTTTAAAACACATCATACAATTAATTACTTTAAGTCATTTATAAGAAATAAATATGATATCACCGAAATATTTTCATATGGACACTTGGAGTTCACCACCGTATTCAAAATTGTCTTTAGTGGCTATTTTTTTCCAGGGGAAAGCGCAAACGCTATCTCCCACTACCACAAATTACACAGGGGAGTTTCAGGCATTTGAGAATATCGCAGGGGTCCGTACCTCCGCAGTGCAATGGATGAGCCTCGCCCTGGGAAAACCACCTTCGTGACCACGGTATCTCCTCTTGCCAGCTAAGTATTTTAGTGGCTATCTTTAACCAAATAAAAAATATTGTCATCGTTTCCGTTTCTGAGTCTTTGAGAGTCCCGTGGCTTTCTTCCATTCATTCCATCTTTTCATGGTTTAGGAATAAATTGCCTCAATCTAATATTATCGCAGTTACTTCCTGGCGGTAACATGTCTCTTCTCTCGCGCACTTGTCTCTAAATTTTGCTTGTGAAAATCACGTTTGAGTACCTACTGATTGTTACGTGTGTATTTATTTTTATGAAGTTCATAATGTGCTGTTATGCACAGTGTATGTATAAAACATCCACAACACACAAAATGTTTTAAAGAACGCGAAATAAAAAATACAAGCAGAAGTTCCATTTTACCTCCAAACTCCCCTGTGCTCCCTGATCTCCTCCATCCGCTCTGCATGTGCTGTTCTCTCCTCACTCCTCTGCTTGGGAGACATCCATAGCCTGCTCCCCTGTGGGGAGTTCTGATTCTGCCACACGGCATTTCAAACCTTCTACAACCTTCTACTGAAATCAGCGTCGACCTAAAGAAGCATTTGCTCAGTGTCCTCAGGTCCCGTCTTGACTCACCGACCCTCTTCTCTTTCCCATAGGGCACGTCTTCCTTCAAGATTCGGTTCAACTGCACCCTCTGCTAAGAAGGGACTTCTGGAGGCCCCAAAACACCCCTTGGGATTTCTCCGAATTTTGATGGGGTTTTCGGTCAGCCCTGCTGCTTGAGGAAAAGCAGCCAAAAGTAGAGAAGTATGAAGCATAACAGTGGGAAAAGAGGCGATAAAATAATCCTCATTGGGGTACACAATGTTCACTTTGAAATTCCAAGAATTTTGGAAGTTAGAAAGAATTCCAAAGAAAAATTGTTAGAGATAATAAAAACAGCTAGTAAAGGGAATGTATATTGAATATATAATACAGTGATTTTCACATACATCTGTGATAATTATTTAAAAATACAAGATAATCTCGATCAGGCTACAATTCCCAAACTGAACTATATCAGAATAAAATTGATAAGCAGTGTGTAAGACCCATTTGAAAACAACTATAATGGGGCTCCTGGGTGGCTTAGTCGGTTAAGCTTCCGACTTTCACTTAGGTCATGATCTCACGGCTCATGGGTTCGAGCCCTGCGTCAGGCTCTGTGCTGACTGCCAGCTCAGAGCCTGGAGGCTGTTTCAGTCTGTGACTCCCTATCTCTCTGACCCTCCCCTGCTCACGCTGTCTCTCTCTCCTAGAAATAAATTAAAAAAAAAAACCAACTATAACATTTTTACTGAAAGAGAATTTTTAAGATGTGGGCTCTGTACCGTATTTCTTGGGTTTGAAACTCATCTCAACCATTTATGTACTATGTGACCTTGGGCAAGTAATTCACCTTCATATATCTGTTGTACAATAAAGAATTTGACTAGGGGTTCCTGGGTGGCTCAGTTGGTCGAGCATCTGACTTCGGCTCAGGTCATGATCTCACAGTTGACAAGTTCGAGCCCCATGTCAGGCTTTGTGTTGATAGCTCGGAGCCTGGAGCCTGCTTCGGATTCTGTGACTCCCCTTCTCTCTGCCCCTCCCCTGCTCATGCTCGCTCGCGATCTCTCTCTGTCTTGCTCTCAAAAATAAATAGACATGAAAACAAAAAAAAAAGAATTTGACTTACTTATGTTCTTGGTTTCTGAGAAGAAGACTCTAAATGTTTGGAGTTCTCTCTCTCTCTGTCTAAGTTTATTTATTTTGAGAGAGAGAGAAAGTACGTGCATGAGTGGGGTGGTGGTGGCAGAGAGAGAGGGAGAGAGAGAATCCCAAGCGGGCTCCACAGCCAGCCCAGCATGGAGCCCAATGCGGCCCATGAAACCATGACCTGAGCTGAAATCAAGAGTCAGATGCTCAACTGACTGAGCCACCCATGTGACCCCATCCTTGGAATTGTCTAAGCTTTGTTATTCTTGGTGGTCCCTTGGACCACACCTAAATTTATGCTAATGAGATGGTTCAGGAACGGGGCTAGTCCTGCCAGAAAGACCAACCATGTGATGACTACCATGTGACTTCTTCTGGGGAGGAGAGGGGTGCTGAAGATTTAGCTCAGTCTTATTACCAATGATTCAGGTAAGTCATGCCTATGTAGTGAAACCCCAGTGAAAAGCTCAGTGGAGCTTTGTGGCTGGTGGACACACTGCCATGCCAGGAGGGTGACAGGTCCTGACACTACCGGGAAAGCCCTACGTTCAGGTCCCTCCCCCCACAAAGGGAAGGGGAGACCCTCTGGTCTCTCTATTTGACTGGTCCTGATCCTTTATTATGAAACAGCAATCATAAATATAGTGTGTTCCTGAGTTCTGTGAGCCCTTCCAGTGAATTATCAGACCTAAAGAGATCATGAGAAGCCCTGTTGGTCAGAAGTGCAGGTGACTTGGGCCCCCCACCTTGGGGCTGGCATTTGAAGTTAGGGCGGTCTTTTTAGGGATGAGCCTGTGGAGTCTTCGATAACTTGGTGTCCTCCGTATCAGAATTGAATGGGAGTACCTTAGTTTCCTCATTTGTAGGATGGGCATGAATAATCATACTTAATCTAATACGCTTACTGGGGCACTGAATGTAGCTGGGGAAGCTAAATACCATTGGGTTGGCAATTCTTCCAGAATTTACACATTATCAAAATCACAAAGCAGTTACTCTGCACTTCACCTAGGAGAAGAAATAGGAGAAAATATGAAGAAAAATGCAAAAAGTGGAGCAATAAAGGAAATTCCCTAGCAGGTAGTAAAACACATAACACTTCAGCAACCCCAGAAACAGTGTGCATGAATGCCAAAATAGAACAGTGGCCCAGGAGAAGAGGATGCAGTGGTGGTGGTGTTTCTAAATGAGGTGTTGGTAAGGGGCACCTGGGTGACTCAATTGGTTAAGTGTCTGAAGTTACACAGGTCATGATCACGCAGTTTGTGACTTCGAGTTCTGCGTTGGGCTCTGTGCTGATGGCTTGGAGCCTGGACCCTGCTTTGTCTCCCTCACTCTCTGCCCCTCCCCTGCTCACACTGTCTCTCTCAAAAATAAAGAAATATTTTAAAAAAGGCAAAAAAGACACTTGTATTGCCCTCTTCTCCCAGCATTTGGGACTCTGTAACACTTTGCGCACCTATTCTAGCTGTTATTACAACTAAATTAAAATTATTTGCATATTTGTGTCTTCAAGGAAAAAAAATAAAGAAACATTAAAAAAAATTTAAACAACGTGCTGGTAGGATGGGAGGGAGGGTGGGGTCAGTCATCAGGAGGGTGTTGTGGTGCTCCAGAGCAGGAGAGCAGAGCTGGAAGCATGAGATGGGGTACAGATGGAGCTTGCTGTTAAGGAAGGTTCAGGATGAAAGTGGATGGGGAGATGCTGACTTGAGTAACTGGGGGACGCAGCCCCCTGAACATAAACAGGAGAAAGAGGAGGCACTACTATTGGAAACGGATGAAGCGCCCGGTGGTAGCTGTGGTTGGAGGCACCAGAGAAATACTTGGGTAAGTAGATTCCAAGGGAGAGCTGGAGTGGGGCTGGGGTCTGGCCTGGGCCATGTCTCAGGGAGGTCTGGCAGCATCCAGGTGCCTGATCCTGGGAGCCAGCTGAGGAAGAGGAGCAGCTAGTTCACAATGTCCGTCTGGCTCAGCGCCCACTTCTACCGGGATTATGTTTCAGGAACATCAAGAGAATCTTTTAAGACCACGTGAGGAAGTACATTTCACACTGCCATATGCCTAGGGGTGTGGCTTCTGTAATTGAGACCAAGCTAATGAACGAGAGAAGAGTCAGCAGAAGGCTGTGTGGGGAGAGGGGACTTTCAAAGATGGCGACCGGCTGGGTGTGTTTTCCAGTTGTGCTCTTCCAAATCCTGACGGGGGAGAGTGGTGATGTCTGGTGTCTTGTCACCCTTACATCACCCCAGGAGAAACCAGTCTTCTTGGTAGTTTTCTAATTTGTCAATTAAAAGTAGTTCCTCTTCTAGTTCTAGAATGTTCACTTGGGATCAAGGAGAGCCTCTCTCATAATTTGGTTTCCCTGGAGAAGTTAGAAGTAGGAAAAGCATTGAGTGACATGGTGCTCCAACGTGTAGCATCACCAAGGCTACTGAGAGGCTCCCTGGCCAGTGCTCTATCCTCTGTCTCCCGGAAAGATTTATCAAGTGCTTACTGTGGGCTTGACAGGGCAGTACACTGGGTGTACAGAGATGGGCAGGACACAGTCGTTCCTTCTGTGGGAGCTGATGGGTTAGCCGCTTGGGGTAGATGAACTAGCTGCTATAAAATATATGTGCTCTAGATCAGAGTGTTCACTAAGGGCTCTGAGCCCACAGAGTAGGGGCTTCTAACTTGTCTTGAGTTGGGGAGGTGGTGACATCTAAGGTGGATCTTGAAGTCTGAGTTGGTGTCATCAAGTGAAGGGAGAGGTCAGCAGGAAGGCATTCCCAGGAAAGGAAGGGTGTGCGTGGAAGCACAAAGGTGTAAATGAAAGGTGTAAATGAAAGGTGTAAATAACCCTGTCACACTCAGGATAGGAAGGGACTGGCTATGGCTAAATTGTAGTGTGGTGTGGTGTGGGGGTGGGTGTGTATGTGGGTGGGTAGTGGAAGATGAAGCTGGAAAGGTAGTTTGAAGTAAGCATGGGAAAGGCCTACAATTCTATGGGTCTTAGAAACTTCTGGGGGTTTTGAGTTTGAATACATTTTTTTTTTCCTTAGAGAGAGAGGGAGTGAGCGAGAGCAGGGGAGAGGGACAGAGAGGGAGAGAGGAATCCCAAGTAGGCTTGATGTTCAATGCAGAGCCCGATGTGGGGCTCAAACCCACGACCCTGGGATCATGACCTGAGCCAAAATCAAGAGTCAGACGCTCAACTGAGCCACCCAGGCACCAGTGAACACATTTATATACAGGAATCTGACTCAGGGAATGGGTATATAGGGCCTGCCATTTGGGTTGAAGGAGAAGAGGGAGGAATCACTGGGCAATGATGTTCAAG